AGATGAACTAGACCCCTCAGCACTTCTCTTGGACATCATTTGAACAATCTGCTAATACTACTCTTGAGTGAAGAAAGGTTGTGACTGTGGCTGAATCATTTGTGGTGTCATAGAACTGGCTGAAGTGGCTGCTCTATGCTGTTGGAATCCAAGATTCAGCTAACTTGCATGGCCATTGTATCCTTCATCTGCTGCAAAATTGGTGTTATCTGCAAAATTAGCATACAGTCCTTCTTTCTTCTATGTCTTAAAGTCTGATGGATAGCCTATTAGCTTGTAATAATTTTCCTTGATATGACTTTTGTAGTGACAGTATTCACACTGAATATTATTCTTTCTTTGCATGTAGCCTCCACCTGTGTTACTAGGTCCTTTGTTGCTATACAATGTAATGTTTTCTAAAACCTCAGTAACTTGAGAAACTTGAGTCATACTTGCAAGATTTCTCTGACTTTCTTAATCAACTAGTAGAGAATATGCTTTATTAATGCTTGGAGCTGGAGACAACATCATAATTTGACTTCTTGACTGAGAATAGGAGTCATTTAGACCAGTGAGAAACCATAGAAGTATTTGAGATTCAAAGTGTTGATAATACTTTTTGACTCAGGCATGGAAATCCTGGACAATGCATGAGAGCATCAAACTCATCCAGAAGATCTCTCAGCTTTGAGAAATAATCTGATATAGTCATAGTCCCTTGAGTTAGAGTGTGCATTATCTGTGAAGGAATAATACTCTAGAATCGTTCACTTTATCAAATCTATCCTTTAGATTTTTGTAACGACCCGACCAGTTATTTTGAGTGTTGTAGCATGTTCCCACATTTAGTGCTTGTTCTATGCTCAATTGTTGTGATGTTGCCTTGTCGGGGTATTGGTTTGGTCCCGAGAATGTTTTGGAATGAATTGGGACCCTTAGTCCCAAGGTTGAAAGCCTAAGTTAAAAGAGTTGACCGGATATTGATTTATGTATAAATGGCTCCGGAATGTAGTTTTAATGGTTTGGATAGCTCCGTATGCTGATTTTAGACTTAGGAGTGTATCCGGATATTGTTTTGGTGGTCCGTAGGTGATTTTGTCTTGAAATGGCGAAAGTTAAAAAATTAGAAGTTTGGAGAGTTGAGAAGTTTGAACGAGATCTGACTTTGTAGTTGCCGGGATCGAATTTTGATTCTGGAAGTTGGAATAGGTTCATTGTGCCATATATAACTTGTGTGCAAAATTTGAGATTAATCAGAGTTGATTTGATAGGTTTCGACATCGATTGTAGAAGTTGGAATTCATTAGTTTTCATTAGGCTTGAATTGGGGTGTGATTCATGTTTTTTATGTTGTTTAATATGATTTGAGGTCTCGACTAAGTTTGTATAGTGTCTTAGGACTTGTTGATATATTTGGTTAAGGTCCCATAGGCCTCGGGGGTGATTCAAATGGATATCGGATTGGAAGTTGACTTAAGAGAATTTCTGGGCTGCTGATGTCTGGTGACATCGCACCTGCGGAGGATTGGTCGCAGGTGCGTAACCGTATAATCAAAGTAGTGGTCACAGGTGCGAAGAGGTGGTCCACAGTAGCAGAGTAGCACCTGCGGAAAGGAGGTTGCAGAAGCGGATTGTGGGGGATAAGCTGAGATGGCCTGGTGTTTCCTCATAAGCGGACATTGAGCGCAGAAGCGCTTCCGTAGAAGTGAACTTGGGGGTACAAATGCGGAGCATGGGAAGTTAGTGAGATCCGCAAATGTGGAGTTTTGGTCTGCAGGTGTGAAAGCACCGGGCAAAATATAAATCGTAAGGTTCCGAGGTTTAATCATTTTTGGACTTTGCAAACTCGGTAGGAGGTGATTTTTGAGAGGGTTTTCGCAAGATTTCTTGTAGAAAGCCGCTTTTGGTCCTTTTTATCTAATTATATTGACTACCCATTGAATTTTCCACCTAGTTTATGTGTTTTTATGGTGGAATTTTGGGAGTTCGGGGCTAGGGATTGGAGAGTATGAATTGGGAATTTGAGGGGCGATTTGGTGTCGGATTTGAATAATTTGTTATGGTTGGACTCGCGGTTGAATAGGTATTCGGATTTTGTAACTTTTATTTGACTTCAAGACGTGGGCCCGGGGTTGACTTTTTGAGTAGGCTTTTTGACTTTTGCTTAAGAACTTAGCTTTACCATATGATATGATTCCTATAGCTTGTGTTGATTGTATCAAGTTGTTTGTCACTAGATTCGAGTCGTTCGGAGGCCGATTCGAGAGGCAGGGGCTCTTTGAAGTAGAGATCTGCACGGTTTGAGGTAAGTAACACTTCTAAACTTGGTTTTGAGGGTATAAATCCTTGAATTTCGTGTTGTGTGATCGGTGTTTCAAGTGAGCACATGCTAGGTGACGGGCGTGTGGGCGAACACCGTAGAAATTGTGATTTAGTTGATTCTGTGGAGCTGTATAGTTATCTTATCCGAATATTATTACTATACTCCTTGTGTTAAAGAGTTTGAGATATGATTCATGTTAGAAATCATGTTACGGCCATGAGCTGGTACTATTGGGACCCGCAACGATCGTTCTTTTATTGTTGAGTTATTTGCTTAATTTGCAGTTATGTACTCAATTACATTCATCATTGCATGTCATATCTCAATCTCTGTATCATGCATTGTCACATCATTTATCATTATTTTGGGTTGATTGGCACTAGTGTTGTGAGTCCTAGAGACTGAAAAGCTTGATGACTGAGTGAGGCTGAGGGCTTGTTTGTGAATGATATTTATGGGATCGGGTTGCATACCGCGACAAGTACTATTAACTCATGACGGGATCTGGTTGCAAATCACAACAGGTATTATTGACTCATGATGGGATCGGGATACACGCTGCATCAGGTATTATTAATTCATGATGGGATCCCGTTGCGCACCGCAGCAGATTTTAGCACTTGGGCAGGATCCGCTCCTCCAGAGTCTGACATACCAACAGTGAGCGCAGGTACCATACAGTACTGAGTGACTGAGTGTGATGAGCGAGAATTGTGACAGTCAGATTTAATACTCTGAGATATTGAGTACGTGAGGTTTTCATTGTGTTACATCACATGCGATATGCACATTGGCATGTAGATATAGAGGTGTAATATTCCTCATATCAGTCATACTTAATATAGTTTATTTGTATTGAGCTCAATTGTTAAACCTGGAAGCATGCCTACATTTCCTATATTGTATACCAATAGATTATGAGTTTCTCTGAGATATTAGTATCATATTTCCTGTCATTGATGTATTGTTAAACCCTATATTTGAACTGTATTGGTTGAGCTTTTCACTACTTTCAGCCCAAAGGTTGGTTTTGTTACTTGTTGACTATATTAGTCTGTTGTACTCATACTACACTATGCACTTTGTGTGCATATCCAGGTACTTCCGGGCACAGAGGTTGCTAGTGTTGAAGCTTATTCAGTTCGGAGACTATCGAGGTAGATGTTTGGCGTCCGCAGACCTTGACTCTCCTCCATTATCTTTAGTTTTATTTATGTCCTACCTTCCTATATAGTGTTTCAGACCCTGTTATTTTATAGATGCTCATGTACTCAATGACACCCGAATTTTGAAAAATATTGTATTGAGTTGTGGTATTTCTTATCAGTAGTTATGAGATTTTTCTCTTGAACTTATATTACTATGTTTTTCAAATTTAATGATGCATGGTTTCATTGTGAATGTTAGCTTGCCTAGTATTGCGATAGGCGCCATCACAATATGTGAAATTTGGATCGTGACAATTTTCAAAGTTTATGATCACTAGATGCATGCATTACACTACTGAGCAATCCTGGTCTTAGAACATTCATGATCCAAGATAAGACAACTACTTTCACCTTTTCCCACAAATCATGAAGTTTTAGTTCGAATTTAAATTTAGGGAATCTATCATCAACAAAACCTAATTTTCTCTTACCTAAAAAATCAATACTCATAGCACGACTCTACAAGGCATTGCTATCAGATCCAGTCAAATGAATAGAGATTAGAGAACAACCTGATGTGACTGTAGGTTATAGGTACAATGGATGATTATAATCAATCAATGGAAAAACATGTGTAGCTTAAACATAATTGCCATTAGCTGATGTTATAGCAGTTGTGAATGGAATCATATTATTTTCTTCACTCCAATCGCCATTGTTAACTACAACTTCTAAGAATCACAAACCGTAGCTTCGATTGAGATTACTCTAAGACAATTCAGCATTCAATTGCAGAATTGAAGCAATCCAGAAGTAGAGAAGTAAATCGCGAGTCAGCTTAGACTAATACTGATGACTCTGATACCATGTTAATTGCCATGAATGTAGAAGTTGGAGCTAAGAGCGAAGAGAACATTTAGCTTGAAAAAGAGGAAGAAGAAAAATAATTGTTTACTGATTCTGTTGAAAATGAATTGCTCCTCTTTCTCTTTTGTACAGAGATGTTTATATACATTCTAACAGGTGGTAACTGAATGTCTGACAACCTCAATTAACTAACTACACTAGTTAGTTTTACAATAAGGCTTAATCATGGTTGCTTATCAGCTTGTTGTTCTAGCCACACTTCAACAATTTCATGCTCCCAAGTCCCAATTCTCTCCTTTATGCTCCTGCCAAAGTAATGTCTTCAGTGTTTGTTATAATTAAGATTCTCCCATAATGTCTTCAGTGTTTGTTCTAATTAAGAGAAAACCTTTGAATTCCAAGATTTGTGAACTCCCAAGTCCCAACGTACCCATGTTCACGTTAGCAAAATAAATCTGGTAGTTTGCTGTTAACGGCATATCAATCACTTTTATACAACAAAAAAGCGAAAAAATATAAATGCAGGTAATACACTAGCTTAGCAAAAAGTTCGTTATTATACCCGGAAATCAGGGCTACGTTAAAACAAGGTGGCATAGATTTGTTAATCACAGAATTCTTACCAATTCTTTATACAGATTCATCCAAGAATTACAAAAGCTTACAAAGCAAGGCGAATCAAAATGAAATCTGAGTTGCATTGTACGGAAATCTCAACCTCAATTGGACCATATTATGTTCATGTCTCTGCCCAATAGCGAAATTTAAAAATAGAGACATGTACATGATTTCCAAAATGCATACTTTGGCAGAGGATACACCGAAGTGGGTTTTTGGGTTCAACTATACCTGTTGCTTCCCCTTAGAGCTATATATGTATAAATACGCACAAAAAAAAAGATGTATATGGTATACATATAGTAAGATCACTTTCATGTCGAACCAATGGTGTACCTAGGATTTTTCATCATGCGTGCTCAACATGATCTTCTTAATCTGGAGATGCTACTGAGATGAATTGCTCAGGCAATCTGTCTATGCAGTACTAGTTTCATATATAAATAAATAGTGTTGGGCTCCAAAAATAATGGCGTTGAGCATCCAACAGGGCGATGTAGGTCCACCATTGTTCTAAATGCACAGACTTTAGATCTTCAACTCGCCTCTAATCTTGACATACTGAATCTGCAACCCACCAGATCACATCTTCAAGAATTAGATTATCCGGACAGTTCACTTCCAAAATGCAGCAACATACATCAGGAAGGAAAACAAATCTAACCGTTTAGTACCATATAATAATCTGCAAGATAATCTGAATCCAAAAAGACCTTAAGATAGAAAGTTTAGGGTACCTGATATGGAGGCTCACTAATGCATAGCAGAGATTTCAAGAATATCAAGACGCATGGCATGTAAAGCAGCCACTCAAAGAACCTAGTTGAGGAGTCCGATGGAAAGACAGGGCTGTTTGAGAAGAATTTGTAACTTCATTTGCCTGGTTAGCAGATATTGAGCTTCTCATTTCTTGGGCCTTTCTCTGTGCTGATTTAAATTTGTTCATAATTTTATCCATGGATGATGTTCTCATTTTCTCCAGTTTCATCTGCATTACATTTGAGAATTATTATTTTTTCTTATAAGATCAGTTGAGAGTTAGTACTAAGTTTAATTGCAAATAGAAATCCTTTTTTCTATTATTGGTGACTGCAAGCCCTTTTCATCCTTCTCTCATTGGTATTCCACTAAAATTTAAACCACATCATGTGTAGTAGCATCTACAGAGAGACACATTTCCTGATGGTTATAGCACGTTATTATCCAAATACATAATAACGAAACTTTTTCATTGTACTGTTTCTTTTGACAACTTAATCTTATTGCGGAGAAAGGGGAGAGAAGAAATTGTTGTAGTTAGGCATTCATTTTTGGAAAATTTGGGATCTAACTTAAAGCAATCCATCTCCAAATGCTGGCTACATATACCATAGAAAATTCGGTCTTGCTTTCCAAATCTTCAAGCAAAAAAAACATGTAACGTTATATAATGCAAGAAAATATCTTTTCCCTGGTCCCTTCAGCAGAAAGATCTCCATATCAATAAGGTCAATCGTTCATTGTTCACCACCCATTTTATCAGTTCCTAACATATTTAAAACATTTGAAGAATCTATTGCTCATATATCAACTTATACGTTCATCTACAATGACAAAAGACTAAAGATGAAAGAATTAACATTTAAGATAAAAGAACACATCATCACAGTTAAGAGCGCAGCATTGCTGCCACCAGTATCAATGACCAAAAACCTTCATTACTACACTAGCCTAGTTCTCTAGGCCAGCCAATCGTAAAAGACTGCTTCACTTTTTTGAAACAATACTCATCTCACAATAGGAAGCGCAGGTTTAAAAACTTATGTCACAATAGGAAGCGTAGGTTTCACAATGGATGGTTTAACAGTTCAACTTAGGTTATTAATATACTAAATGGACACCATAGAGTTGATGAATTGTGAATGTAGTGAGACCAACCTCTAGTTTCCTTATTGCTGCCTCTGCTTTTGCCTTTTGCAGGTTCTCCCATGCAGTAATACTGGCTTCTTCCCTCCTAATCCTGGATTATATTTACAGGATAGAATAAGCAGCAAGAATACATACAGATATAGGGAAAGAGATTAAAAACATGAATGTTTTCTGGTCTTTGGAGAACAGCCAGTTTTATGATATTCTTGATAAACACCACTGATTGACGGATCAGATAGACTGAATTCCAGTGTATGCAAATATTTAAACAAGTAATTTGATAAACTAACATAAACCAGGCATCTAATTGGCAGCTAGGAGATAGACCTTCTATAAAACTATAGAGTCTCATAATATTTAGTTGAGAGAAGGGGAATTTTAGAGCAGCACTAAAGTTATCTCCGTAAGAGACCTATAGGTCACGGGTTTGAGCCGTGGAATCAGATACTGGCACTTGCGTCACGGTAAGCTGCCAACATCACACCGCTTGGGGTGCGACCCTTTCACGGACCCTGCGTGAACGCGAAATGCTTCATGCACCGGGCTTCCTTTTCTTTATAATATTTACTTGAGAAGGAACTACATATTCATCTCTTCCTATTTTTGAATAGCATTTTCTACATAAGAGTTATCAGTTCATAACTTTCTTTTTCAAGTTTACAAGAGAAATAGCGTCACTTACTTTGAAGCACTCTTTGTTGTGTTGGAAACATCCCAATGTGAAGAACGGATTTCCCTTCCTGGAGTCGGAGCTACCCATTCGTCAACTGGCACGTCTCTCACTTCTGCTTTGGGGGAAGTGATTCTCTGCATTTTTACAATTGGTAGAACGGAGGGAGTTGAGGGTGAGAAGGACGACAGTCTCAATGGAGATGAAGGACTTTCCTCGGGGCTCATCTGCGTGGCCATATCCCTCCTTGAGATAATTCTAGACACTCCATTGGTTGCATCCTCAATATCATCACTGCTCTCGTCTAAACAAAAAATATTGTGACAGTGAAACACAATAAAAAAGGATTATCATTCTTTACGTGTTATTAAACTCACAGTTCTCAAGATAAAATTGATAAAGATGTGTGTAAACACCAGATGGAGGGAGAAAAACTGCAAACTAAAGAAAAGGAAATGCTAGTGGCATAACAAGTTTCGACACTTCTGGACCATAACAAGGGACATCTGGCACACTTGATCATTGAAGGGAAGATCCAAAACAACTTCATAATATATCCTCACTTCTTTCGATGAACTATAAAAACTTCAATTTTCGTCAAACTTATATATTTATAACAGGGAACTACAACTTCCCAATTGAGGAATCTATTAGCTATAATTAGTGCTTTTTCAGAGATTCTCTATCTCAAAGCTCGATTTAAGATAGATAATTACGAATTTCAGAACTATTAACTAAACCACACATTTTCCTCCTCTATGTTTTCTATATAATTTCTGGTCACTGTGTTTCTTTCATTATCATTGGCTTACAATCAGAAGGACACCCTCCGTCAGCCAAAAACTCTTAGTTTCAATAATAACTCTTGAAAACAAAGAAGTACTCAAGTTTTCTGTTTAACCATTTCATTTTGAGCCTTGAGATGTAATTGGCCTTCCATCATTGGAAATATAGATTCATTATCCTCCACACACACACACAAAAACTCTAGTATTAATTAATCCATCGGTTCTATTTTTATTTTAGGTATTAACACACATAAATTATGCTACATTGTCACAGGCTTAGCTTGACAAATAATGATGCAGCAAGTAAATCAACTTTTAACTTTCTAATGAGATTTAACAAGCACCAAACCAACAAAAATTGGTCAATTATACCTTGGGGAATCGACAGTGTTGACAGACTGAGACGTTCAGAACACCCATGTACACTAACTGACCTTGCCATGTACGGCTCCACGAATGAAGGAAAATTTCCACCACCTAAGTTTCCTCCAGAACGAAATGCCGAACTATCAGAAGCTATCACTCCGCTTGAACTTGGAGAACTGGCTAGCAGATTCCCACCATTTCCTACCTTAAAAACAGGCACTATTGGAGAATACGATGAATAGTAAGCAGGACCAAGAGGTCCACTTTTGGATTTAGGCCGCCTCTGTTGCTGCTGTAATGAACCTCTATCTCCTGATGCTGGGCTAAAAATCCATCTCTCTGCATCTTCCCATTTGGAAGGTAATGTTCTTCCATTGTTATAAGGCAGCAATGCAGTATTCAGTTGCCTCCGACTAGCAGCTGAACGCAATGGCACATGCTCTGAGCTCCAGCCTTTCTGAATGTAATGCTTATAGTTTGGCGTCCCAGGGCTAGGAAACATACAAGCTCCAGATGCAGTAACAGTTGTTTTCTTCATGACACCAAATCGCGGAGAAGAGTGTGTTGCCTTAATTATAGCATTATTCAGATCTGGTTTTTGCCTATCTAATTTCTTCCCGGCCTTTGACCTCCTGTCTTGACATTCTATTCAAATGAATTCACAAATGTACTTCTCGATCAAATTCATCTGATATCAAAGAACTAAACAAAACAAATACACACTGAACTGTAATTTTTCTTTCAAAAACCTTTATACTTGTGCATTACCTTTGAGAGCTTGTGAAAATGACTTTCTTGCTGAATCTAAGGTCAGATTTTTCTCCTCTCGATCTGGAAAACAGTGATGGTAAATGTAAATGTCTAATCTCTAATTCTTTCAAAGCTTTTGAAGGAAGCCAGCTGATACACAGGCAAGAGGTACCTTTTGTCTTTTCTTTCCTACGAAGGTGACTATTCTTGTGTACCATGGCTTTGCTTAGATCTGGAGATGGACCACCCAAAGCTTCATGAAATTCATACCCTGTCAAATGCTGGTACAACAGATCAAAGATTTCAATCTCATGGAATTCGGCAAACTACATACTTTGAGAAGTAGTACAGATAAATACCAATTACTATAAAAGAATCCAAAAGCAGTATCCTCACTCCTCATTTTTCGGTGAAAAGTCAATTGATCAACTAAAGCTCAATCCAAACTAGTTGCCCGGTTATATGAATCTTATAAATACGTCCTTATAAAAAAAGAATTCACCTTCTAATCTGTTCCTCTCCATCTATATGATGAGTAACAGTGTTAATACATAAAAGTAGAGATCGAGAGAGATCAATAAAAATGAAAAACTTGTTACATGAAAATGCGGATGGTGAGATAGAGAAGTAAAGGAGCAGCGATCAAGGCTGGGAGACGCAGAGAAGTCGGCGGTGAAAATGACAGAATCCGGGCTAACATCACGACCTCCAAATATCAAACTCAATCTCTGATCCTGAAACCTTAGCTCCGACATTTTCACTTCTTAATTCCGCATTAATTACATTACATCATATATAAGTAATTGTTTCTGACATGAACTCTACTCTACTTGTGTAGACTTTAGATGTAATGGCGTGTTTGTAAAGGTCGATGTCATATGACTGTATTTAACAAAAATGGAATCTTCAAGGAAAGGACAAAGCTTTCTGAAGTGGGAATGTGACTTCATCATCATGTTTTATGTTTTGTTCACACTATTAAAAAACAAAACGTCGGATTCTCTTCTCTCCATGCAAGAGACCTTTTCCCCATATTTTTAAAGTTTCTCTTTGTGTGGGATGTCCTCAGTGCAGCGGCGGATTCAAGGGCGCAAGAGTGTTTATCCGAACCTTCTTATACACAACTCCTTGCACTGTGTATATAAAGTAAAATTTGATTTTTTTTCTCTATATATATTATATTTTGAATCATCTGGCCAAAAAGCATGGCTTAATAGTCAAGGGGTTCAAAACCATTATGAAGTCATTGGCTCAATTCCCACCAGGTACAATCTCATTAAATTTTTTAACTTAATCCTTTTTTGAACCCCCTTAGCAAAAGCCCTCCCTCCGCCACAGCCTCAGTGGATGTAGCTAATTAGCTATATTCCATCCAACTCCGTATTTTTTATACCATCATGAATATATATGTGAAATGCAATAATTTTAATAAATAGTAGTACTAGATTATAGAGTTATAATCTTAAAAGTACAACAACTTCAATTTAAAAACATTAAAAGTTGAACTTATTAACTTTAGATCCTAAACATATATGCTCTAAATGTTATGGTATAATTTGAACTCATTCGCCCTTAATTAAGTTCTCGTGATTAAGAATTGAGAATTTCTCATTCTCTTAGTACGGAGCGTTTCATTTTTTTATGCTAATATAAGCTCACATTCTTATGATTTATTCCAGACAATTTAGTAATTAATTTACTGGTGTAAAGTTTAACATTTCATATCTTGTAATTCTAACTATGGACTATATATATTTTGTACTAATTAACAATCTAGTGCAGCTAAGAAAAGTTTCATTTGAATGTATTGCAATTTTTGAAAAGAGATGGAAGTCCCAAGCGCCATGTAAGTTAAAACATATGTCTAATCACGTTTGAAGTTGTTCCCTGAAATTCCATTGATTAAGGAGCTATTCGTGCCAAAAAGAGTAATTATTAGCTATCTTTGAAATCCGGTGGAAATGGGCAAATCAATAGTACAGTATGTTGTCGTTAGTTGAAAGTAACGGTGGCAAAATGATTTTAAAAAATAGTTATACATCCATATTATCCATTAAAATATGGGTTAGAAAATGAATTTTATTTAGGTCAAATATAGAAAAAAAATATATTATTCACTTAGAAAATGGATAAATAATGGGTTTACTTTTAAATTTGTAAAGTCTCCAATTGGAAGTTCCTCAAGTTTAGAAGACTAGGAATTCTCTCAAAAGTGATCATATTCAAGAAGTCGTGGATAATATGAATATCCATATTATCTGCGATTAACTCATTTTTTATCCGTATTAAATACAGGTTGGGTCGGTTAATTTATCCGTTTTGCATTACCCTTTCATCCCGACCCACCTATTTGTCACCCTAGTTGCACGAATGAATTTTGGGTGATTCCACACAAGCAAAATGCTAAATTCAACACCGAAATTTATTTATTTTTGGTCCAGCGGTTACCACTCGCTCCAAAATTTTGCACTTGCCCCATTTACATTTGCTCACATAACTATACTATAAATCACATCTGACAGCATTTTGCGTTCGCGGGGTTTAGTCCAAGTTTTAAGGGCCAGGGGTCTTATGACTCTAATCTGGGCATACGGGGTATGGTCTCTTCAGGATCAGGTATGAATAAATGTCTAAATTATAAATTGCTTCACTTCTATGTTAGGAGATAGGAGTTAGGTACTCAGGTAAGATTGGCAAAGCCCCACATTGATTGCTACAGTATCACAGTTGGTACTGTCACTAGATTTTCTCTGTCTCTTTCTTTTGGATTCCCCTACGCACATGCTGCTCGAATTTCTTTTTATCGAGGTCAATAATAACTACTTTCTCCATCTAACTGATTTTTTTTATTTTTTTTATTTTTATATTTTCAATTTACACTCACAAGTCTTCATTTAATAAACTTCTTTTTTGGGTATATAAAGGTACAACAATCCAAACACAACTTGACAAATTCTATAGAGGAAATTTCAAATTCAACTTCAAATAATTTTTCTTAATCATTGTCCGTATGACATTGATAGATCTAAAAAACCCACATTTCAGATTTGATTCAATTTGCAAGATGTAGGGAAATTACACATTTATCACTCTTAGACGTCTAAAAGGCATGGATCCACAACTTGAGGATCTTAATGCTTATCCAATTTTCTTTGAGCCAAGAAATAATGAAAATGAAGGGGAGAGGACTCAACCTCTCCACTCTTTTGCACGCTATATTAGTCTCAATTGTTTACCATTTCATAATTGATGTTCAAAAGGGAAAGAAAGTGTTAAGCAATTATGTCTGAACTCTCGGGTGCTGCTTTTTGTAGCCTTAATCTTTGGGATAAATGACATGATGGCAAAGAGAAGGCAGAGGTAGAGGGGGTGAAAAGTAAATGTGGAAGTAGAAAAAGAAGACGTGGCATGCATAAAATTTGGCTTCTCGAGAGGTGGTTTGGTTTGAAGACAAGTTATATTGAAATTAGTTATCCTATTATTATTTCTTATCTACTGTTTGATATGTTGTATTAACCCTAGAATTTTTAACTATATTGCTTTATATTTGAATAATTTATCCTGTGATTACTATTCCACCCTCTGGCATGTATAAGCTATCTCGATATTATTTTTAATCCTTGGTTTACTCTTCACAGGATTAGTAACAAAACAAGGAATAAAGTAGTACTAATTTTTTATCCTAGAATTATTTTTGCCTATCCATCGTACCAAACGATCCCCAAAATTAGTTGTATCATTAAAAGTCTCTCCCACTATAACTATCCGGCCGGTCATGATGTGAATTTTAGCCTCGTTTCCCAATTTGATATTTCTCTGCATGTGCATTTGTTGTTAGGTAACTTGCGGGGATGGTTGGTTTGGTTTTAGGAACGTTTTGGAGTGAATTTGGACACTTAATTTCATAGTTTGAAGATTAAGTTATAAGAGTTGGCCAAGGTTAGACTTGTGCGTAAAAGACCTCGAATCGATATTTTGATGGTTCTAATAGGTTCGTATGGTGATTTGGACTGAGGCGTATGTACGGATTTGGAGGTTCCTAGGACGTATTGGCTCTAATTATCGAAAGTTGGAAAGCTGAAGGTTTGAATTTTTTTTAGATTGGACCGAGATTGACTTTGATGATATTAGGTTTGGATTGTTATTCCGGGACTTGGAATAGATTCGTTATATCATTTGGGACTTGTGTGCAAAGTTCGGTTACATTCCGAGTTGGTTTGATAGGAATCAAACATTTGGTTGGAAGTTTAGAAGCTTATGAACCTAACAGAAGTTCAATTGATGGTTTGATCACCGATTCGTAGATGTGGTGATCTTGCATGTGTTTGGAGGATTTGGATAGGTCCAGATAGTGTTTACAGACTTGTTGGTATAATTGAATGGGGTCCCAAGTGGCTCGGGTGAGTTTCGGATCACCCGAAGCTTGGTTGAATTGTAGATTTTCTATTGTTGCTTGGTATGCTTCGCGATCGTGGAGGCATATTTGGGTAGATATGATTTTTATACTTCGTGTTGGCATACATGGTCGCGTTCGTAAAGGGTTGGAGATATTATGCGCATTTGCAGGCGATGGGCTCACGTTTGCATAGAGAAGAGGTTGGTTGGGAGCCGTTTGGGGATTAGCCATTGCGTTCGCATGATCAGGCTCGCATTTATGTAGGCTTAGGTTGGTAGTGCATTTTTACTATACCAGCCTTCTAGTTTTACTATACCAGCCATCTATTTCATATTTTGTATTTCGTATTCTGTATTTCATATCTCTTATATATTGTTGTTATTTTTATTATGCATTTTTATGGTACTAATATATCATCTCCTATTGCTTTTTTGAGCCGAGGGTCTCCTGGAAACAGCCTCTCTACCCTTCGGGGTAAGGGTAAGGTCTGCGTACATATTACCCTCCTCAGACCCCACTTGTGGGATTATACTGGGTCGTTGTTGTTGTTGTTGTTGTAGGTTGGTAGTGCATCGGGTTGGGGTGGTGTGGTTAGAACCAAAAGAGAGTTGGTGTTCGAGATAACATCAACACATTTGTACGAAGTTATTCAAGGATCTTTGAAGAGATAACACCCTTGCAACCCAAGAGAACTAGAGTAGATTCATAATGAATCTGAACCAGTATAAAAAATTTGCGTGTCATTTAGTTTCTGCACTTTACATTCTATCTTTAATTTTATCTTGCTTCTACTTTCAGTCGATTACTTGGTAAACTAGTCAACTACTTATGTATAAAAACAAAACTTGACAATTTACCTCCCTCTTATACTTTCAAAAATGACAGACATCGCAGCTACTCATGGGATGACTAGGTCAGGAAGGTGTTATGCTCCAGAAGAGGTAAACCGAGGGACCCCGAATAGATAGTAGAATCAGAGAATAAACATAACAGATAATAAGGCAGCAGAGTTTTGGAGGAGGATATCGGTTAAAGAATACTCCGTAGAAGAACAGTTGAGAAAGACCCTTGCGCACATATCAATTATGGATTTGTTGATGAGCTCCGACAGTCATAGTCTGGTAAAAGTTCTATGCAGGGTAAGTGTGTCGAGCAATACCACTAGTGAGGTGCTAGCAGCAACCATTGGGAAGATGGTGGAGGCAAACAAGATTTCCTTTCGGAGAGATGAACTTCCTGTGGAGAGTATGGATCACAACAAGGTTCTTCATATCACAATCAAGTATGGAGATAAAGTCGTATCTCGAGCACTTGTCAATGGAGGATCCGGAGTATTAGCCCATTCTCTACTATGTGAGAATTGGGCATTTATTTGAGAAAAGTTAAAGAAAACCATGTGAGAGTATAAGGGCTTTCGATGGATCACAGAAGGATGTCATTGGAGAGATTTACTTAGCCTTGCAAATTGGACCAGTTGAGTTCCCGATATTGTTTCAAGTAATGGACATTTTGTCTTTATATAATCTACTACTAGGAAGGCTCTGGATACACATTACAGGGGCAGTTCCTTCCACTCTTCATTGTGTATGAAATTTGAATAGGATTGACAGGAGATCGTGATATATGGGGAGTGAAGCCGATCATCTTACTTGGAGCACGTGGTTCCT